ATTAAACATAACTGAACAACACTAACACTCTTAGTATTCACCCTGCCTTCATAAATACCGTATTTTTTGTTTAGATTCTCATAAGAGAGCCTAATATGTGTGTAGCAAGTTATTTATCTTTTTTTTGAAACGACGATTTTATAAAAAGAGAATTCCCTGCCTAAGATAAAAAAAATGATAAAAAAATGCAGGAGGAAACAAAGTCAAAATTACATAGCCTTAAAAGGACAACATAACCAATGAGATCAATTACAAATACCAAAATTACCCCTATTCTTAACCCAATCGGATACCGTAAAGATGATGGTATCTGCTGTTTTGGAAGGGGAGTGATGAATGTTGTTAAAAAGCATGTCGTTTCTCACATTCCACACGTTCCATAGAGGACCGTATACGATCTCCATAAAAATTGTTCTCTTCTTAGGGCAAGCACCCCAATTTACCGTTAAATCGAAGGCATCTTTAATAGAGTTGAAACTTGGAAGAGGGATGTCACACCATTTAAAAACCCAGAAAAGGACCTCGCGAGTAAATGAGCAACCTGTCATGATGTGATCAATGGAATCGAAGCCAATAGAGCAAATATGAAAGGAAGTCGAGGGGGTAGTGACACAACGATGATTAAGAGCGGTAACGGTAGGAATGTGATCAAAACTCTCTCTCCAGATAAAGCACGAGACTTTGAGGGGAACAAGATTAGTCCAACACAGTTGCATTTGGAATTCCACACGTGAGTTTGGAGTCAATAACGCACCGGAGGTGGCTCACAAAAAAAATCACCATTGGCACATCTTGTTTTTATCCTTGGATTTCCAAATATCATTTGCATCAGTGAGGTTGACGGTCGATATAAAGTTGTTTAGTTGATGAAGTTCCAGCTATTCAGGCGGCCTGCGAGGTATTCTTTTCCAACTCCACGTGATTCAGGCGGCCTGTGGAAGATAATATTTCTAAAATAAAACATGATTGTTTGGAGTCTAGTTTAAAAAGATGAGGAAACCTCGACCCAAAGGAACCTCCTCCATACGAATCTTCGAGCCAAAAGAGTGTTTGATCCTCGTTCCCAACCTGACAATTCAGAATCTGATTAAATTGGATACCAAGAAGATCGAGGTCCTTGATGATTTTGACAATATTCCCCCAAGTTTCGGGGACAGAAAGTTTAGCAAGCCTCATCACTGATTTTCTCGCGAGATTGTGTATGATGCTGATAGCTTGACTCCATAAATCAGTGTCTTTATTCTTGAATCGCCAAATCCATTTAAAAAGGAGGTCAATATTAATACTTTGAAGAGATCCCACGCCCATACTGCCTTTTTCTTTGTTCGTGAGAACAACCTTCCAATTAACTCAACAAATCTTGTTTTTATCCTCGGTGCCACCCCACAAAAAATGCCTACGGATTCTCTCTATATCGTTAAGCACCAACATGGGAGCTTTGAAGAGAGAAAAATAGAATAATGGCATGTTGCCCAGCATCGACTTGACGAGAGTAAGGCGCCCTTCGAATAAAATAGTCTTGGATTTCCAGGTTGAAAGTCTGTTTTGAACCCGGTTAATAATAGGTTTCAAATTCCGATTCAAAGCCATGTTCGCTCCGAACGGAACTCCTAAGTAGGTGAAAGGAAAGGAGGTCAGTTTGTACCCGAAGATACCTGCACAATTGGCCACTTCAGTATTAGGAACTCTGATGCCGAAGACGCTCGATTTATGGAAATTCACCTTTAAACCTAGAACAACGTTAAAACAATGAAGAATTTGAGACATGTTAGTGAAGTTAGAGCTATACCAATGACCAACAAAGATGATGCTTTCTGCATAAAAGAGATGTAAGATGGATGGGCCGTTGTTTGGAGTTTGGATGCCATGGAAAAGAAAGCGTTGACAGGCTGATTTCATAGAAGCATTTAGTCCTTCCATGGCCAAGATAAACAAAAGGGGGATAAAGGGTCCCCCTGGCAGACACCCTTGGAGATAGGGAACTCCAAGGTCGGGGACCCATTAATTAACATCGAAGCCCGTGAAGAAGTAATACAACATCTAACCCAAAAACGCCAACGGTTCCCGAAACCCATTTGAAGCATAATAGAGTCAAGGAAGTGCCACTTAACGGAATCAAACACCTTGTCAAATTCGACTTTGAATATGAACGCCTTTTGTTTCTCTTTTTTTGCCTAAGAGTAAATATCCTTGATTATAAAAGGACCATCAAGTATTTTGCATCCCTCGATGAAACCGGTTTGGATGTCATCGATCACTATGCCTATTACCCTTTTGATGCGATTTGCAAGTGCTTTAGCGATAATCTTGTACAAGCTCCTATAAGTCCGATGGGTTGATAGTCGTTGCGGGTGAGCGGGTCTTTGGTTTTGAGAATTAAGGTAATGAATGAGGAGCTAACACCCCTAGAAAAACGCCCATTGGCTTCAAAGTATCTAACGAACCTCATGATATCGTCTTGCATCAAACACCAATACCTCCTAAAAATCTGGAATGTGAATCCATCCGACCTGTGAGCTTTATCACCCCCACTGTCCCATATAGCAGCCTTAATGTCCTCAAGACCGAAATCAAGTTCCAGGAAAGCGTTGTATTCCGAGGAGAGGCGTCTGAAGTTTTAGTTGAGGAGAAGGGGCCTAACAGTCTGAGTTTCTCTGAATTTTTGTCCAAAAAAACGTAATGCTTCCGCTTCTAGAGAATCTTTATCTGATACCCAATTCCCATTTACCATGAGACCCCGATAGTATTTTTTTCTGCCTTTAATTTTTAGGAAATTGTGATAGAATTTGGTGTTTTCTCCCTCGTCAGTGAGCCATTTGATCTTGGCTCGTTGCTGTAAGTCGAGCCTAGATAGGTTCTCAAGTTCAAGAATTTTCAGTTTTCCTTCCCTAAGGAACGCCTTTTCTTCATCAGTGAGTGCTCTTTCCTCCGCAGCCCCATCTAAACCTTCCACCTTAGCTTTGATGCCAAGCTAATTTATAATTTTCTTTTCGGTATGTAACAAAATTTGATATTGGTTACTTTGATTGTCCTTTACAAATTCTTTTATTTGTTTAATTAGTGGATATTTTAATTATGAAGAATTGACAATAAAGAATCAGTGAAAACGAATTGAAAATAGAATAAAAAATAAAGTTAAGGTTGCTTGATCAATCTAAACAATTGTTCTTCAACATGTTAAAATTGAAAGATTTGGGTCCTTGGTGGGGTGTTAAAAGTAAAAAATTCATAGGATCTAAACTCTAAACCTTATGGGCCTCGATCCCAGAGAAGGTATCCTACAAAATCTTCAGGGATGAATATATTTTGGTCATTCAAGAAAAACCAAAACTTGAAATATGTTTAATTAAGGACAATTATGTTTAATATTGTCATAATACAACTTTAAAACTGACTATTAATTATAATATTGGTTATTAAAAGAAAAAAAATATTTATATAAACCAAGGCTGTCAAGATTCGGATCCTACCTAAGATCGTTTCATGTGTTGCAAGATCGTGATCGTAAGATCGGATCGGGATCGGAAGATCCTACCAAAATGAACTCATATTCATTTTTGCTCGTAAGGTCTTGCATGTGTAGTATACATTATTACTTGATGTCGATTAAGTCACTGATATAGAGCCAACTTTAACTTTTTAATCATGAACCATAATTTTTTGTTGCTACAAACTGTAAAAATTAATAATAAAACATCTCAATTACAAAAAAAAACAAGATCATTATGATCTATAACTAAAGACTTAAGATCATAAATAAAATATGATGAGTGTAACATGCCTAGTTCGTGATGAATTGATAAAGTGATGATGCTCTATGAGACTTCTTGCATTTCGCGATACTCGATTTCAAGTTGAATAAACAAATTTTCATGTTCGACTATATAATAAAAACTAGAAAGGTAGGATCGGATCGTATTAAGATCTTAAGATCCTAGTTGGGATCCTAAGATACCACTATAGATCTTGCATCATATAGATCCTAGTATGATCGGGATCGTTTTTGGTTTGTAGGATCTTAAAATCGTAAGATTTTAAGATCAAGATCGGGATCTTAACAACCATGATATAAACGTCCTTGACTACTTTTCTGGTAATCAATGGTACATTCGTACCCTTAACACATGCACTCTCACACAAGTTCATTAAAAACAAAGGCAGTTTGGTTTGCATCTGCACCTCATATGCACGTAAGAGAAAGTCTTGGTTCTATAAGTCTTACAAAGTTTAAAAGTCTTTATAATTATAAACCAACTTTATTTTCATTCTCGAACCCACGTGAGATGAACTAAACCATTAAACTCATTTTGTTTACTTCTTCTAACATCTTCACTTTAAAGATTAATTTCATATTCATCTTTAATATGTTTTGGATATGTGATATACCAAAACGAATGTATCATGTAGGAGAACATAAATATACAACTGTTTATATTCGAATTTCGTGCTAAAAATGAGAAAATCATTTTTTTTTTGAAATTGGTTAAAACCAACTTTCCAACAAAAGAGAGTTAAGGTAGCAGGAGATCATGGTTAAACTGTAGATAGAAGGTACAAATATAAAATGAACAATTTAAAACAGTTTGATTTTTCCCATGATAAATCAAAATAAAATCAGTTGATTTAAAACAAAAAAACTAATGTTGTTTTTGGATGGATGGATGGTGAAGTTTGTCATCACAGGCATCAAGATTGACCATGACCACATATACATTGTCGATGATCTGTCATATTAAACTCCATTCCGTCTTTTATACCTTCGACATATGATATCAATCAACAAATCCAATAGATGATTATAAACTTTTTTAATTAATATACCAAAATATCAAGTTACAGCTGAAATAAGTAGTATCACAGTATACAATTGAGTAAACACTTTTAGCAATAAGTATATAATACATGCTATAAAATATTACTTCATAACACAATTATTTCATACACAATTTATATATTGATCAACAAAAGTTGTAAAATAATAACAAGATTTTATTAATATTGCCTTACGGACTTATACAATAAAAGAAAGTCAATAACATCTCCTGACTTGGTAGTTTTACCTAAATACGTTAAAAAGGTATGACCTAACTCTGCTACAATAAACCACGTTCCCCCTAACCTCCTATTCATTACAAAATCATCAAGAATCTTTTTCTCTTTTCTTCTTATTTGTTTAAGGAAACTCTTTATGTACAATTTGGTGTCCTTTAGAGTCCTCTTTATGCCTTGGCCATAATTTCCTTCTCCTCAAAACGATTCTTTTATCCTTTTTCTTTTCTTCTTTGACTAAATCAGTCAAACATCATTGTAATATATTCTAAAAATAGTAAGTTTCTTTGATTTGTCTTCTTCTCAAACCCCAATCAATCTCCATATCGAAATACCCCTTCTCACGATTTGGAAACATGCCCAATCCATGAACCTTAAGGTCTTGTTTTCCTCTTGTCATCTTTACAATTGTTTCTTGGGAAAGAGTCTTATGGGCAAGCCATTTTGGGGAAGGGCAAATGGGGCATAATGAATTTCATTTTGTGGGCCAACCATTGACCATCTGCAGAAAAAAGAAAATTCCATGATCAGTTTAATATACTTGCAGTTCTTGAAATAATTCCATTTTTAGCAATTATTTTTAGGTTTTGCCCATGAAATGAAGACCTTTTTATGGTAAATAAATGATTTGAAGGATTTGTTAGATTTCACCAACCTGTATTTTGTGGTCATATGATGTATAAGCACTAGTATCTCCAACTTGGCTAGCTCGTTTCCTGGACATGAGTGGGTCCCATTGCCAAATGGCATAAATGTATTGGGCTTTGGTGCCACCTGCCAAATCATTAGAGATTTACCAAATCATTTTCCCATTTTGACCAAATAAAAGATACTCCTTAATTTGTTTTTTCAGTTAATTCAACTAAATAATTACAATTTTAAATATTTACCTCGAATCTTGACGGGTCAAACTTCTCTGGCTCCGTGAAGTTTTCGGGACTATGGTGGATGTTTCTAAAGAGTGGCAATACCTTCCATCCTTTTGGAATAAGGTACCCTGAGAAAAAACAAATTTAAAATATTAGAATAAAATGATTTAAAAGTATTTAATTAAATATTAAGTAAACAAACTAATTAAAATAAACAAACCTTCAAATTCAACATCTTCGACAGCTTCTCTGAAGGTAAAAGATAAGATAGAAGCAACTCGGAGGGTCTCTTGAATGACTCTTGAAGTTATGGGCATTTTCTTGGTATCTGCCCAAGTCAAAGCCTTGTCATCTTTCCCCTTCATTATCCCCTCTTGCTCTTCCTAAAAAGTCAAACATTTAATATTAATTACAAACTAAACTATGGGCTAAACTAATATGTTAATGTCAACTTGCCATTTTCAACTTTTTAATATCTTCAGAAAAAAGAATGGTAAATAAATAAATGGTTTTGAAAAAAGATTCAACTTTTTGATATTGGCGTTTAGGGATCAATTATTTTAATGTGAGATTTCTTATAATGCTAAACACTAAAAAGAGAAGATTTCTTACAGTGACAGCTTGTAGGACAGTGGGATTTTCAGCCAAGTACTTGACGATCCATGTCAAGACACTAGCGGTGGTGTCCCTGGCGGCGAAGATGACGCCGATGATGTTGTCGGCGATTTGTTCGTCGGTGAGCCCTTCTTTCTCTTCCATGAACGAAGCCAACAAATCCTTATGTTCTTCTTTGTTGGTTTCCCTTCTCAAAGAAAGAATCTTGGCCAGGATCTGTGCTAGTTCCCTCCTCGCCTTCATTGATTTGTTGAAGAGTGTTCCGGGAAGATTAATCGGCATCGAATTGTACCCTTTTTCAAGAATGTAATAACATCTCTTGAGATCCTCTCTGTATAGCACCTCATCTTTTCCGAAAATGGAAAGCAATGCAACATTGAATGTGAACTGCAAATATATAGATAAGATGATGATCAGAAAACAGAGTAAAACAGAGTGTGAGTTACACCTCTTGTATTGAGTATTATTTACTTCACTTACTGTTTTCATTTCCTGAAAAGTGTTGATGAGTTGTTGGTCTTCCCATCCTCGGAGTGATTGGACGGCGATGGATTCGATATCAGGGATGATGTTTTTGATGGATTCAGGGGTGAATGCTCGGAGAACAAGACGTCTCAATTTGGAATGGTAATCACCTTGGTGGAAGAAAATTGCTTGTTTTCCCAGCATTCTCTCTTTGCTAGCAGGGAATGTAGGCTTAAAAAGATGAGATTTGGTAACAAGCACAAGCTTAGCAGCAGCCGGGCTTGAAATCATGACACACCGACAACCCAAAACATGGGTTTTAAAGATCGAACCATACCTGCAACAAAATCCCAATCAGTAAACAAATTTAGAGAAATTAACTACGAGTGATGAAACTTGAAAATGAAACTAACTTTTTGACTTTAGAAGCGAAGAAGACATTTGGGTTTTGCGAGTAGAGTTGGAAGGTCTCGCCAATATAAGGCCAACCGAGTGTTCCGGGAGGAAGAGGGAGGTTTTTCCGGCGAGCGGCGGAGGTGAAGAAAGATTTGAAGAGAAAGAGAGTTGAAAGAAGGATAAAGAAAGAAGAGCAGAAGACGAAGGTAATGAGTTCCATTGTTAATCCCTTTGTTATTTAGGTTGATGGTGTTTTGATAGAAAGTGGGAGGGAGGAAGCGAAGGTATATATAAGTAAGCTTTGGAAGGGGAAGGGTGCACCATTACAGCTAAATACACTCACACGGAATCTTGCTCTCCAGCTCATCTAACAGGGAAAGGAATGGGGTTGGGGATGGGGATGGGTGGTGAAGGAGCTAGATAACTACTATTGCAGATGTGTCCATGAGTTTATCTTTTTTTTTTTTCATTTACTTTTTTTTATAATCAATAAAACCATTTTAATAAAAAAAAAAAAATTATAAGATGAAACTAACATACAAAATAGAGGTAGAGGTAAGAGGGAGTGGGGGCATGACAGTTAGAATGCAGAAAGGGCGTGTGGGATGCGAGGAAGGGGGGAATCGGAATTGGAATTGGAATAGCAAAGAGGAATTGGATTGACTTGACCATCTATTCATTATGATCAAACGGCCCCGTCCCTACCCTACCAATCAAACCCACTCCGTACCACTTCAACAACAACAATCATAATAATCAATATACGCTTCTTGCACACTGTATTATTATAAATGTTTTTTTTTTTTTTTTACAAATTACACTTCACTCCACTCCTTCCAACTTAATATATCTCTTAAACCTTCCCACAGCCGCCAATATCATACTAAAAGGCTGGTTCTTTGTTCATCATTAAATTATATATATGGACATAAAAAAAAAATCATTTGTCTTACCAAATAAGTATGTTAATAAATAATAAGATTCTAGAGTAGGCATGCATGCTCAACTAAAAGACTTGTCTGATACAAGTGACAAACGAGTCATAGCGTGAAGCCACCGAACCCCTACCGTTGATCTCACTCTCTATATGGAAGCCTAGAAGGTGCTCTTAAGTACATTACCTTCACTACAATAGATCTTAGATATGTTTTTCATCATATCTATCTGGAGATGGAAACGGGTCGGGGAATACCGGAGACCCCAATCCCCATCTTCATCCCGAATCATCATCTTCATCCTCATCCATGTCCTCATCCACATCAGGAAATATAAATTAATCAACAACCTTGCCTCCAACAAGGATCGGGAATCCCAACAGAATTGAAGATTTCTTTTTTCTATTTTAATATAAAAATTTTTACGTAAAAAAAAAATTAATTTCAATTTTAACAATACAAGTTTAAATATAAAAAAAAAACATAAAAATATTCATAGATTGCATAAAAACTATAAACAAATTTTCTACCAAATATAAATACATATATGGAAAATCAAATAGAAAAAAAACTATCAGAGTGATATTTGAGGTAACAACAGATAAACCAAGTAGAAAAATTTATATACGAGGTTAAATTAGATAAACGAAGAGGGAAAAATAAAATTTCAACAAAGTAATTACTAATGAGTTGGATTACATGGATCAAATTTTAGTATTGTAAATTTTATTATAAATATATTTTGTATTATTTTTATATATATTAATATCTACCGAGGCCAGGTCCAAAGTCGGGATGTAACACCGGGTTTCTGAATTGAGTATTTGACTGATGCGCTCACCAAATTATATATCGTAAAGTTTCATGTTACGGAGGTTTGTAGTTGTAATACTCGAGTCTCAATGACGTTTTCCCATGTTTAGATTGATGGTTTTATAGTCCATAGGAAAGTAGAAGCATGGGGCGAAAAAAGAAGCCATTTATCGCATTTTCTGAAAAATCTAAAAATCTGAAATTATTCGTAAAAAGCGGGGAGTGCCTCTTAAAAGCACGGTGCGCTTCTGGCCCGGTGGGCTAATCGTTTTTTTATGGGTTTGGGAGTATTTAAGGCCATTAAACCCCTCGGGTTGGATCATTCTCAACCTATATCACCCTTAAAACATTTCTTGAGAAACCCTAGCCTCCTTCTACTTGTTTTGAGCCTTGGAATCATTTTATGTGTAGCGCCCGCAAAATTCGAGCAAGTCAATTTAGAGACAATAAACATGAAAATATGACTTTTTGATGAAAGATTATTTAGAATGAATAATTTTATCCAAGTTGTAGTATATGTTACAATGGTTCTGTACATATAAAGAACGTCGAAATCCGAGTTATAACGAAGAAGTTATGGCTCGTCGAAGTTTTACGGTTAAACCGGCACGACACCGCGTAACGTAAAAAGTGAATTTTTGATAAATTACTTTTTAGCCTTAGAGATCTAAATAAAAGTTGTAGTATACTTTAAACCGAGAGCATGCATAAAAAGAACGCCCAGATCTGACTCCGTATGAGCAAGTTATGATTTTTCTAAGATTTGGCGTAGCAGTGCACAACCCACAATTTAAATTTTAGATCGATCAATTTTTGGCCAACGCAACCTAAATGAGAATTGAATATCTCATTAATAGGATCTCAACAATAAAAAGACAGACGAAAACGGAGTCCGTATGTAAAATTTATGATTTTTACACGGTCGTTTAACCGTATAATCTTCTCATACTGTTAAATTTAAAATCGGCCGAGAGTTAGCCGATGGAGTCAAAAGGAGAGTTGTAGATCTTGTCAATACCTGCGCGTGGATATAAAGAATGTTGAAAACAGAGCAAGTATGCAAAAGTTACGGGGTTTAGAAGCCGGCAGGGTGCTGCTGCAAAAGGGGTGACGTGGCACAATATAGGCCACCCACGTTTTGCCACCAGAATGGTGACATGTGGCACCAACTCGACGAGTTGGAGGCCAAACTCGACGAGTTGAGCCATATTTCAGCTATAAATAGAGGTGCGAAGGTGCCTTCATTCCTCACACCTTTACCCTCTTCTTTCTCTCTCTACACACTCTCTAACTCCCCCAAAACCCCCCCTAAAGCCCTAGGAAACTCCCCTAGCGCTAGAAGAAAGCTCCGGAGCTCCCGAAGGCTCCGAGAAAAAGAGCTTTTCAGCTCAGAAGCTCTGCTCCAGCGGAGCCCGGGTTTTAGCAAAACCCGTTGTAAGTAAGATACGCCTACCCTACTTTAAATATAGCTTATGTTTGAATATAATATCGTTATTATGAACCTATGGATAAGATTTATCAATAATTCAAAATCGTTATAGTGATTGATCTACTTACGAGAATGATATCTAGGCTGTGATTTAGTGAGGTGTTTAAAGTGGGATTTCCAAACAGTATACTTCGTATACCAAACGGACCCTACCTCCGATATGATCATACCTGGTTGTTCCTTACTTGATAGATCATGAAAGTAGACTTTGAGTTCATGATGAATCTAGATTAATAATTGGTCGCAATAAAGATTAGACTAAAACTTAGCGATAATAATGCTAGGTTTCGTCGAAGGAAAATAGAATCGTTAGAAGCGAAGCACTGCCCGAGTTTGGAATCATCACTTTGACAAGTGAGTGCATAGTTACTTTCATCTAAGACATAGATATGAAGTATTTTATATAAATTATGTGCTGTGTGTGCATATTATTTGAATACTTGCTGTCTATGCTGAATGAACGATTTTATACACGTTTTAAATGAGTTAAACTGTATATGTATTTTATATCTACGAATATGTTGGGTAAAATATGGGTAGATGAATGAGGAGGGATGAAAGAGGATATAAGTAAACACTGGCGACTATGGACTTAGTGCATATTGTATAAACCTTGGAAACTATGGACTTAGTGCCTATTGTATAAACCCTGGCGACTATGGACTTAGTTCCTATTGTATAAACCCTGACGACTATGGACTTAGTGCCTATTGTATAAACCCTGACGACTATGGACTTAGTGCCTATTGTATAAACCCTGACGACTATGGACTTAGTGCCTATTGTATAAACCCTGGCGACTATGGACTTAGTGCCTATTGTATAAACCCTGGCGACTATCGACTTGATGCCTATTGTATAAACCCTGGCAACTATGGACTTAGTGCCTATTGTATAAACCTTGGTGACGATGGACTTCATGCCTATTCCTTAGGATAATCCTTAGAAATGAATGAACGAAGAATAATTGATTCTCAGGGTAGAACCTAAAGACTAAAGAAGATAATGGGGATGGGTAATTGGGTTGATTGTTTGATGTTTAAACATAATAACTATATTATTGTGGGTTGAAAAACCTATGTGCTCACCAGGTTTCCCAACCTGACCCACTCAGATTATTTGTATCACAGGTTTCGATACGAGGCTATATTACTACACTGAGAGATTAAAGAAGATACGAATCACTAGTGTAAAAGAACGTAAGGTCTATTTATGCTTATGTTTCTGTATTGACAATGAAATCCCAATGTTTTAAAATGAATAAAATACATTTCATCGGAAATGCTTTGATAACATATTTATCATGTTTTTTTGGGAACAAATTTCGCAACATTTTTCTTTTAAAGGTTACTCTGATATTCAAACAAAGCATAAACAAATCGGTCTTTTCTGGTCGTGAAAATGGGGATGTCACAGTTGGTATCAGAGCATTAGTTTAAGCGAACTAGGAATAAGTATTTATTTCTAGACTTAAACTTAGAATGCTAAGTGATGATCGTGAGGAGTGTGTCTAATATATTTTAGGAAGTACACCTAAATAGACACAAGCACTAGCTTATTTAGGGAAGATGACCAAATTGCTTTTATGTGCTAAATGATATATGCTGCCTTATATGCTTTATGATGTTATCGTTTGATCGGATCTATGGTTTGTTGCTGACCGGATCTGGAAACTTTATGTGTTCAGATTTCTAAACGTTTAATTACGGTATTAGAACTGACATATAACTTTTCGTAGTAATTAGGAGGATTACACGTCTAAACCTTCATTATCTATATTCTCGTCTCGATACACCAAACGACTGCTTTGGTGTACAGAATGTCATGATAAGGACTCGTAGCGGACTGAGCAAATGGAGGAAATGAGAAGGCTTACGATAGTGAATGATACCTATTCGAAGATATCATAAGAGCGGTATCTTGCCTTTAGAAAATGTCTAATAAATAATACGTCTAGTGCGGTAGAAGTACACTTTCGATTAGCAGAAAGAAAGAACTCTTGATATAATCCATGAAGTTATCCCATCGTCTGGAATTTCCACCACCAACCAAG